TATATAAAACATTTTTTAGAAACATTTTTTAGAAAGATAAACTGAAATTAAAGGACAAAAAACATTGCATTAGATAAAATGTATTTCATATGAGGAAGCTGCAGATTAATTTACATTTTTAAGTTCCATCCATTCGCTTCCGCTTATCCTTTTCAGGGTCGCAGGGGACGCTGGAGCCTATCCCAGCTAACATAGGGCAAAAGGCGGGATACACCCTGGACAGGTCGCCAGTCTGTCGCAGGGCTAACACATAGGGACAGACAACCATTCACACCTAGTGGCAATTGGGATTATCCAATTAACCTATCCCCACAAGCTGCATGTCTTTGGACGGTGGGAGGAAGCCGGAGTACCCAGAGGGAACCCACGCAAACACGGGGAGAACTTGCAAACTCCACACAGAAAGACCCCGGCCTGATGGTGGAATTAAACTCAGGACCTTCTTGCTGTGAGGCAACAGTGCTAACCACCGTGCCACCGTGCTGCCCATTTTTAAGTTATTTTATATAAAACAAGATGTTAAAATAGATCCACTTCTTAGAAAACATCTCATTTGATTACTTGCACATTCAGGATTACCATTTTTAACAATAATTCATTTGAAGTTGTGTGTGTGGCTTTCTGATAAATAGGTCCCTCCCTGGCAATGTGATAGTGACACAGTTTGTTGCTGAGAAAAGCAAGTTATAGCCAAGCCATCTGGTGTGCACTTATGCCTGTGGTGTGCTATCAAATACTGTACATTTGTGTGTTCAATAGAAATAAAGAATAATAAAGCAAATCATTGAAAAAAATGACAAAGTGCATGAAGAGCACATTGGACAGCACTACTAGCTGTATAAAACACAATGGTATGAAAATTGTGTATGAATGATTGTCTTGAAAAAATGGTCAGTTTTATATTTGAAAATTAGAATTTGCTTTAAAATTACAAACAATATATATAAAACTCACAGAAAACTGGCAAAGTGTAGATGTTCAATTTTTAAATTTTTTTACTTTGTCAAACAGGAGTATTTTTTCCAGGGAGGAGGAGTCAATGCAAAACTCATATATTACAGTTTTTCTCAAATGTTAAAACACAAAAGCCAATCCTGTAACCCAAATGACCAGTAGTCTAAACACATTTACTAAATGTAGCCACCATATTCCAGTACCATAAACACATGTCACATGAAGACACAATTCACAAAACACAACCCTCCGTACTCATAAATCTAAACACATTTTTCCTTGCTAAAACACATGTTGCAAAACAACTCTGCTCATATTCTCAAATGAAAGCCCATGTGATGCAAAATGCTTGCCACAGTCACCAATCTTTGAACACAGGGAACACACCTGGTGTCATTCACTACACACAATGACTCAAAATTGAAGACACTTGTTGCTAATGCTGTACCCACATGTAAAAGCAAGTTCAGAGTGCACAGTATGCTGAAGGTTCCAAACAAACACAATGGATGAAGGCAGAGTCAGGGGAAGAGGAATTTGATGCAGAGGAGGGAGAAGAGCTGGCCCTGGAAGAAGAGGAGCAGGCCAATGAGGAAGAGGAGTTCAAATGAGAGGAGGAAGAGGAGCGACCAACGAGGAAGAGGAGAAGGCCAACATGGGAGAGGAGAAGGTCCAGGAGGGAGAGCAAGACAACCTCGCACCATCATTACGGACGAGATGCGAGCAACAGCTCAGCGACATGATGCCGCACAGTGATTGTGGTGTGTGTGTGGTGTGAATAACGTAAATAAAAAAACTTCACACCCTGTTCATGTTTTCAAGATTACTGTTGTGTGCAATAGATTCTGTTTTTGCATTGAGTTGTGTTACAGTAGTGTACGTACATGCAGGATTTTCTATAGATTTATACTACTCATATGAAACTCACAAATCTAAATGCCTAATCCTCTGCAGAGATCTACGACGATCCGTTACTGTATAGTTTCTAAAATATGCATTGGCAGTTATGAAACAAAAAACCTTCTCACAAATTGAGCATTGTGTTTTCAATTGTTTTGCTGTAGTGTGTAATGCTGTGTATAGTGTTTACAGTTTTGACAGCTTCGAGCTGCTCTCTTGGTGTGGGAGTTTGAGTTTTGCAGTGGGAAGGTGTGGTTGTGTTTATGTAGCTTTAGAGAAGGGTGTTGTGTTTGGACATTGGGGGACCTGGTGGTAACGTTTGTGACATGTGTTTTAGCATTTGAGAAAAACTGTAACTCTTCACACCTTCGTAAAAATGGTGTTTCCGTATCAAACAGTACACACAAGCCATCATCTACTAAGCACACAATGCGCCAACTGCACACTGATGGTATGAATACAAAACACATCTGGCTTTTGCTTTCTCTGTGCACAAGGTAGGCTATGTCAGTTTGAGCTCATACTTCTGTCATAGATCCATAAGCATAGAGGGAGCCAAACTTCAAGTACTGGTGTTTATTCAAACACATCAAAACAAACACAAGTGTTTATTTCCAAGTATAGGATTATTTGCAACCGCCATAATGACTCTATGGGTTACTTGGTCTGCAGTGAACATGCTTCCTCTGCCCCCAGCATCTGGTCATCTAGCAATTCTGTAAAGTAACAATTTCAGTATTTTTACATCAATGGTATTGGTGTGTTTCTCATTGGCATATGGCAGTGCTACAAATCTTTGTGCGAAGTGACTGTACTAACCGATTCTCATTTCAAGATGTCCTTATGGTACTTGCTACAGTGTAGCGGCTCGAGTTAGGCTGGACCCGTTGGCCAGCTACCCTCAGGGTCATTCCACGGTTGATGACATGGTCCACTATTGTAGCTCTGATGTCATCAGCAATTCTATTTCTTACTCTTCCTACCCTTCCTCTCCCCCTCCTCGTCTTCCTCTTGCTCCTCCTTGTCCTTGTCGTCCTCTTCATCCTACTTCTTCACCTCCACATCCTCTTCCTCGGCCTCCTCTACTTCTCACTCTTTCTGCTCGCTCCATTGTACTCCGCACACACAGCTTACCTGTATTATAGTGCTTAGGCTGATTGCAAAGTGAAGTAATTATCTAAAAAAGTTTTCACATGTGAAAGTGTGCCAGACAGTTGGCAAATTAGTGTTAATGATAGCCATACATGTGTATACTTTTGCTAGGAGTGTGTTGGAAATTTGGTAATTGAGTGTTGTGCAGTGAATTGTGCCTACCGTTTTGCAAAGTGTGTGTTACAAAATTGCAAACTGAGTGCAAAGCAGTTTTTGTGCTTTTAGTTTTGCAAACTCAGTGAGTGGTTTTGCTATAAGTCTGAATAGTTTTAGAGATTGTGCTACAGGAATCACAGTTAGGGTTTAAGCATTCAGAAAAAACTGTAACTGCTGTGAGCATAATTTGTTGCTACGACTACCTCGATCAAGAATAGCAACACAATAAGGAATTTCCAAATTTTTTTCTTTTTTTGTTTTGAGTAAATAGAATCAGAATCAGAATCAGAATACTTTATTGATCCCTGGGGGAAATTATTTTTTGTTACAGTGCTCCATTTTAAACCAACATTAAGACAAGACAGACAATACACGAACTAAGAATAGTACAATATATACATATATATATATACATACATACATACATACATAAGTCACTCATAAATAAATAGTTGGAAAAGAAACATGTGTAGTTGTAGCAGCAAACAGTGTGTTAAGTGGATGCGTTGTACAGGGAGATGGCCACAGGCAGGAATGATTTCCTGTGTCGTTCAGTGGTGCTTTTCGGTAATCTCAGTCTCTCACTGAACGAGCTCCTGTGACTGACCAGCATGTCATGGAGTGGGTGGGAGGTGTTATCCAACATTGTCTTTATCTTGGACAGCATCCGCCTCTCCGACACCACCTTGAGGGAGTCCAGCTCCATCCCCACAACATTGCTGGCCTTACGGATTAGTTTATTAAGTCTGTTGGCATCTGCGACCCTCAGCCTGCTCCCCCAGCATGCAACAGCATAGAGGATCGCACTGGCCACAACAGACTCATAGAAAATCCTCAGCATTTTCTGGCAGATGTTGAAGGACCTCAGTCGCCTCAAAAAATAGAGACGACTCTGGCCCTTCCTGTAAAATGCTGTGGTGTTTTTAGCCCAGTCCAGTTTATTGTCAATGTGTACTCCAAGGTATTTATAGTCCTCCACAATGTCAACACTGACCCCCTGGATTGAAATAGGGGTCAAGTGTTTCCTGGTCTTCCTGAAGTCCACGATCAGTTCCTTGGTCTTTGCCACGTTGAGCTGCAGATGATTCTGCTCACACCACGTAACAAAGGAGTCGACCACAGCCCGGTACTCTGTCTCATCATCCCTGCTGATGCATCCAACCACCGCAGAGTCATCAGAAAACTTCTGAAGATGGCAGGTCTCTGTGCAGTGGCTGAAGTCTGTGGTGTAGAGGGTGAAGAGGAAGGGGGAGAGGACAGTCCCCTGTGGTGCCCCTGTGTTGCTGATCACCTTGTCAGACACACACTGTGGGAGACGTACATATTGTGGTCTTCCTGTCAGGTAATCAACAATCCAGGACACCAGAGAAGCATCCACCTGCATCGCTGCTAACTTATCACCCAGGAGGGTCGGCCTGATGGTGTTGAAAGCACTGGAAAAGTCAAAAAACATGACCCTCACAGTGCTCGCCGGCTGGTCCAGATGGGTGTAGACACGATTGAGCAGGTAGATGATGGCGTCCTCAGTTCCGAGACGAGGCTGATAAGCGAACTGAAGGGGATCCAGGTGTGGTCTTACTATGGGTCGCAGCTGGTCCAGGATGAGCCTTTCCAGGGTCTTCATGATGTGGGAGGTCAATGCCACGGGCCTGTAATCCTGGGGGCCACTGGGACGTGGCGTCTTTGGTACAGGGACGAGGCATGATGTCTTCCACATCACCGGGACCCTCTGCAGACTCAGACTCAGCATAAACAGTTTATGAAAGACTCCACACAGCTGGGGGGCACAGGTCTTGAGGACAAGGGGACTCACTCCGTCTGGTCCAGCAGACTTCCCTTCAATTCATTATTGGTCTTGGAGCTCCTCCTCCGGTAGCTTCATGTTTCAAATGTGTGCATGCAGTGAGGGGCTTTTGTTCAGGTCTGCTGATGTTATGTGTTACTGTGACTCTCTGGCACAGTAATACAGCAGTGTCTTCAGGCTCTATATTCTGTCCATTTACAGTCACTGTGTTGCTTGAAGTGTCTAAGTCAATGCTGAACTTGCTCTTTAGTGAATCTTTGTAGTAAGAGCTCCCAGTACTTTTCATCCCAATCCACTCCAGTCCTTTCCCTGCAGGCTGTCTGATCCAAGCTGTCCAATAGCTGCTAAAAGAATAAGACACCTGACAGGTGATGGTCAGATGCTGACCTGGCTGCACATTTACAGAGGCTGGCTGTGTCAGCTGCTCACACTTCACACCTGTAGAGAAAACATGTTTTATGTGACAGTAACAGTCAGTATGCTGTGATCATTCTGTCAGTGTTTTTTTTTTTTCCAGTGAGACCCACAGGATCCAGCAGCCAGCAGGAGCAGCAGGGCCACAGAGAACATTTTGGTACTCAAGTTAATCTGATGAGAACTTTTCTTCTGCTTTAACTGACACCATGATTTCAAGTCTTTATAGCAGAGTGTCAGGACGTTTGCTTTACACATAGATGTATGCTGACAGATTATAAGAGATCACACTGTGGCAATCAGTATTAACAATTTAAAAATGGAGATAATTCCAATAAAAATATTATTTATAACACAAATATAAAGTTTGATGTGTTTTTCATTCCTTAAAAACTCTGTTTAGACAAGGCCGATGAAAATAGTCACATTTGCATGTACACATGGACAGACAAAATATTTAATGTAAAACTGGAGAAGACAGTCTTCACAAAAACAATCTTCCAGTAAAGCAGCTTTTCTGAATCGTCCAGTATGTTGATGAGTTAAATGTAATCTCTGTAACTTCTGTGAGAAAATGGTGTTTCTCACTCCTGTGACGCTGTGAGTCTCCAGCACAGTAATAAACAATAAAATCCTCTGCTATCAAGTTATCAAGAACATGAAAAAATATGTACATTGGTTGCATGCAATAAAGTTATATTTTCAGTTCCTGAAATCTTTACAGTTATCAGATCTTAATTTATCACACAGTGTTTATTTTTATGTTTAGATTTAAACAGTTTAAACTGTTTGTCATTTAATCAAATTACTCTTATAAATATTCGCTGGTTAACCTGCTCTCAGCGACTGTCAATGGTATGTGCAAACAAACAAAAACTGTTCTTTAAACAAACATCTATATTTTCTCAATATTGCATAATTACACAACTAGACTTCCACTTCACACTACAGGCATGTGATACACACTTGTTTGAACTGTAATATAACATGACAACATAACAGTGACAAACATACTGCTTATAAATGGATCATCACAATCAAGATAGGGTGTAACAGCAAAGGTACAATAAACTTGTTAAAATGTCAATAATTTTAGTCTTAACTATGTTATTTAACCTGTTTTCTAAACAGTGCAAAGTCTGTTAAAATTATCTTTAAATGGGATTTCTGACAGCTAGTAAACAATAACAACAACAATAAAAGCACCCTCAGACATATTCTGAGTTTGCTTATTTAATAACAATCAGAGGTAAACACAGTAGCCCCAAAGTATCTGTGCAGAGTTTTAGTTTGTAGATGTCAAAGTGAAATATAATAAAGGAATATCTACTGACTCACGTATTTTCACATCAGTCATTCTTCTAGCATTATGTAACTCACATTGAGTTACATGATAAAATCACTTGATTAATGTAATATCTTAAATTCATCAGTTGTCTGAGGGCTCCTCCTCTGGTGGCTTCATGTTATAACTGTTTAGGCACTGAGGGGGTTTTTGTTCAACTCTATGGATGTTTTGATGCTGTGGTTCTCTTCCACAGTAATACACAGCAGTGTCTTCAGTCTGCACAATCTGTCCACTTGCAGTCAGTGCTTTGCTGGGAGAGTCTAAGTTGATGTTAAACTTATTCTTTACTAAATCTTTGCTGAATGAATCACCAGGATTATATTCAGATCTATACCAGTCCTTTCCCTGCAGGCAGCAATAAGTAATGATAAATAAGTGTATGTTTAAGAAAGATACTATTAAAGATTAATGCATGTGGTCTGAAAACCAAACAAGATGCTGAATGCAATTTATAGTAAATATTTGAAATAGATTATTAAACTGATTATTAATCCCAATTGATACTGTTAAATATTTTGCAGATCCTTGTGCCTTTGTTGTTTCTTCTTGTGTTAATGATGTTGAACTGCAGTTCATTACTGTCATTGTGAACAGAATAAAGTAAATTGTTCCTTTTGTGATGTGCTGAGTTTTTGTACGGAGTTTCTTCCTCTTGTATCACTGTGGCTCTCGAGCACAATAATAAACAGCAGAATCCTCAGTTGTCAGGCTGTTCATCTGCAGATACACCTGCTTTCTGCTGTTGTCTCTGGAGATGGTAAACCGGCCTCTGAATGACTGAGAGTAGTAGATGCTGCTACTGCCAGGGTTGATATAAGCAATCCATTCTAGTCCTTTTCCAGCAGCCTGTCTGATCCAAACATAATGGTCATCACCACTGAACCCTGAGTATGTACAGGTCAGTCTGTGGGATTGTCCAGGCTGTTTAATCACTGATTCAGACTCAGTCAATGTTTGACCCTCAGTACCTGCAGATAAAAACATAATTAGCCTTTGTATTTCAAGCATATCATTTGTCATTGAGTCATAATGTTTGTAAAAGAAATACTTCTGTCCTTACCAACACAATAAACTGACAGGATAAGAAAAACAGCCGTCAACGCTGGATGGTTCATTGTAGGAGCCATTTGTCTCTGCCCAGTCCACATTGGTGTGATTCAATCATGTAGTCCTTGTTTTTTATCCTGTGACACATATTCAAAGATGGAGGATATAATTTTGCATGTGTTCCTCCTCAAAGAGAACCACACTCCAGGTCACAGAAATTTAGCATTCAGCAAGTATTCAGGCTATCATTATAAAGAAATCAATACTACAGTGCTTAAAATATTTATTACAGCACTTGTCATAAAAAAAAATTATAAATCTGTCAAAAACCTGTTTTTTGGAAATAGCTGGTACACATGACTCCTCTGTCAGAAATTAATCAAGCTTAACAGTCAACCAAAAAAAGTTTTTTTTTTTTTCAATTTAGGAAATAAATATCTGTAATTTAACATCTTAATAAAATATAATAATGTGATTTCTTTTTTTTGCTATTTTTAAATAAAACATAATTTAAAAACTACATGGATAAGATCAGTAATTAACAACATTTAAAAAATATATATTACAGTTTTTTCTGAATGCTTAAACCCTAACTGTGATTCCTGTAGCACAATCTCTAAAACTATTCAGACTTATAGCAAAACCACTCACTGAGTTTGCAAAACTAAAAGCACAAAAACTGCTTTGCACTCAGTTTGCAATTTTGTAACACACACTTTGCAAAACTGTAGGCACAATTCACTGCACAACACTCAATTACCAAATTTCCAACACACTCCTAGCAAAAGTATACACATGTATGGCTATCATTAACACTAATTTGCCAACTGTCTGGCACACTTTCACATGTGAAAACTTTTTTAGATAATTAGTTCACTTTGCAATCAGCCTAAGCACTATAATACAGGTAAGCTGTGTGTGCAGAGTACAATGGAGCGAGCAGAAAGAGTGAGAAGTAGAGGAGGCCGAGGAAGAGGGCGTGGAGGTGAAGAAGTAGGATGAAGAGGACGACAAGGACAAGGAGGAGCAAGAGGAAGACGAGGAGGTGGGAGAGGAGGACGAGGAGGGGGGAGAGGAAGATGAGGAGGGGGGAGAGGAAGGGTAGGAAGAGTAAGAAATAGAATTACTGATGACATCAGAGCTACAATAGTGGACCATGTAATCAACCGTGGAATGACCCTGAGGGTAGCTGGCCAACGGGTCCAGCCTAACTCGAGCCGCTACACTGTAGCAAGTACCATAAGGACATCTTGAAATGAGAATCGGTTAGTACAGTCACTTCGCACAAAGATTTGTAGCACTGCCATATGCCAATGAGAAACACACCAATACCATTGATGTAAAAATACTGAAATTGTACTTTACAGAATTGCTAGATGACCAGATGCTGGGGGCAAAGGAAGCATGTTCACTGCAGACCAAGTAACCCATATAGTCATTATGGCGATTGCAAATAATCCTATACTTGGAAATAAACACTTGTGTTTGTTTTGATGTGTTTGAATAAACACCAGTACTTGAAGTTTGGATCCCTCTATGCTTATGGATCTATGACAGAAGTATGAGCTCAAACTGACATAGCCTACCTTGTGCACAGAGAAAGCAAAAGCCAGATGTGTTTTGTATTCATACCATCAGTGTGCAGTTGGCGCATTGTGTGCTTAGTAGATGATGGCTTGTGTGTACTGTTTGATACGGAAACACCATTTTTACGAAGGTGTGAAGAGTTAATCTAGCTGTGTTTGCTTTTGCAAGAGAACTACGATGTTTTGATTATTGGGTGACAGGTTTTCTTATTTGTGTGAAGAGTTTTGCAAAATTAGCCAATAGTTACAAAAAATGTGCTTAAGCAATCAGAAAAAACTGTAAGCACCAGTTTACCATCTCCAACGGAAACAACAGCAAGCAGCTGTATCTGTAGATGAGCAGCTTGACATCAGAGGACTCTGCTGTTTATTAATGTCCTCAAGAGACACAAAGCAAAGACTCTATCCTTTCATAACTTGTTAGAACTGTTTTATTATTATTTTATTAATTTTGTTTTATTATTTGTTATGAAAAACAAATTTTACAATCTAATGATGCAGTAATTTTCTTTTCCTTCAGATTCAATGCAATACAAAAACAGAATAGAAAAATGATTCAAAAGAATCTGTGCTATTTTATATAAATGCAAACTGTGTTCTGTTATGTTGTGTATTTATGGAGTCTGCAGCAGAGAGACCCTACAGTAAATGGACAGAATATTCAGCCCGAATACACTGCTGTGTATTACAGGGCCACAGTCACATTCACAGAAAGAAAAATCTCTAAGACTCTAATAAATTCCTGTTGTTTCTGTTTACTTTTTAAAACTCCTTAGCAAGAACCTTTTTGTGATTTTGTAAGTATTGATAAAGCCCTAAAATAAAATGCCTGTACATGAAACTGAATTTAGTTATCAATAATGTTATAAAGTGATTAATTTATGACATAAAATGATTTCATTTAAATAATATTTTGGTTTGTGAGCTTGTATTTATTTATTATATTGTACATTTTAATCTACAAACTAATAAGGTGCAAATTATGCAAAGTACTTGTTTATATACAGAGATATAGAACGTAACATTTACATGCACAGTAAATGTTATAACATTTTTTTAAATGACAAAAAGTGTTTTTTCTTTCAATTTTATTAGCAATCATATCAAACTTTGTCATGTTGTATGGATTCAACGTACAGAGTCGAGCAAGGTCATGACCTCTGAAGTTCTCTTCC